AAAAAAATGTTACTCTATGAGCATTTGGCTGATGATCTTCTACTAGTAAAAGGTTGAGCTAATCACTAAAAATTTAAAGTAAACTAAGACCTAAAACTTGTATTTCAAGATATGGCAACATAATTAACAATTAGGAATGAAATCACCAACTGCAAAATGCTTTTTTATCTTTTTTTAACAAAATGCGGCTACAGCAACATGTACAACCATGGACTTCATGACTACTAATCTAAAACTTACCCTTAATGCTTCCTAGTAATAATATTTGTCCTATTCTGTTCACTCTTCTACAAATCCCTAAGGACTCAAATCCCTGTTATCTTTCTGAAGTCCTGGTATTTGATTCTCCCCCTACTTATTGTTTCAGCTTATCTGACCTCCCTGTTGCTCTTCAAATATCCTACACATTCTCCTGCTTCCAAGCCTTTCTATTTGCTATTCCTATACCTAGAATGCTCTTGCCCAGATATCTATGACTCAATTCCATAAATCCTTTTGTCTTTAACCAAATATCACCTTCAAGTTGAAGCCCCTCTTATTCTATCAACCTCCCCCCACACAAGTACACACATTTCCTATTGCCTCCTCTCAGTATACACATTTCCTATTGCCTTCTCTCTTTACTTTTTCTCCAAAATACCACATATTTTAGTTAATTATATTTATCATCTGTCTTCCCCCATTTTAATATAAGCTCTATAAGAGCAGGGATTTCTGTCCTGTTCACTCCTGTATGCTCAGTGCCTAGAATAGAGCACATAGGAAATATTTAATATATACTCATTGGATAAATAAAACCATATTACTGCAAAAGAGATTTATTACATCACACTCTAAAGTGATTTAGGAAATAGACTGCATATTGCATATACTTACCCCTCCCCCTGCCCATTTTTATGAAACATACATAGCGGACGCTGCTAAAAAGTTCTTTCTGTGTGCTTGGGCAGCCACTGCCAGTCAGAAGATGTTCAAGATATTCTACCATTTGATAATCTTGTAAGTTTCAAAATGTAAAAGTGACAGAAAATTGACAGTTTCAAGTTGTTCTCAATCTAGCAATAACTAATTGCCTAATAATGTTCTATGTGAAAATAAACATGTCTTCGTCACGTATATTTGCTCAGAAAATTTTCGTTCCTTTCCTTTTAAAACTGCATTAGAAAGTAAATCTTCTCAATAACAGCTCATATTTAAAACCTGTTGTGCCCTTCCTTCAAACTTCTAGGTTCTAACCTCAGCTTAGGCCCTTCATTCTCCTAGATGGTAGCTGCTTCTTACAGTTACTATCTGTTTTACCTTGGTGTTCCCATTTTTCCTTTTCATTTCTCCAATACCCGTCTAACCAATCCCCTATATTACATTCTCTGTATTAAAATAATTGCTGTGGTTTCTTTTTTTCCTGGATGAACCTTGTCAAGATTACCAATCCTCTAGCTAAGACATAATTCATTATTATTCCATAATTAGGTTGTTTTCCCAAATCTCTAAATTCCTCACTTGAAAGGCCAGAATATTCTGTGGAACCGATGACGGGGGGGTGGTGGTGGAGGTGGTAGAGGTGGTGGTGGTGGTGGTGCTGGTGGGTGCTGGGTGGTGATGTGAGGATGATGATGACCTTACTGATGTCAGGTATTATAATAAGTGCTTTCCACTCATTTTCTCATTTAATTCTCACTAAATCTTGAAGCAAATAACATTTTCATCCTTATTTTCTACAGATGAAGAAACAGACCAATGAGAATTTAGGTAATTTGCCCAAGATGCCACAGTTAGTAAATGGCAGAATACAGATTTAAACCCAACCCATCATCCTCTAAAGACTGTATACTTAACCAGTATACCACACTGTCCCTTTAAAGTAGTTTAAAAAGAATTTTATTTTGTCTTTATTGTTGTAGTTTAAAAAGAATTTTATTTTGTCTTTATTGTTATCACTTTATTTTACTCCAAAGACAAAATATAATACCCCCCAAAAGAAATAAATACTTCATCAATTCTTAGGTCAGTGGTTGGCAAACATTTTCAGAGGGGGTGGGAGCTTTATGGGTCATTCCATTTTTATTGTAACTACTCAACCCTGCTGTTGTAGCTCAAAAGGAGCCATAGACAATATACAAACAGGCATAGCTGTGTTCCAAAAAAAACTTTATTTACAGAAACAGGTAGCAGGCTAGATTTGGCATGTTGATTGTAGTTTGCTGATCCTTGCTTTAGGTGCTTTTAAAAATAAAGACAAAGCTGATTAAGTCAATGAAGAAAACAGAAAATGACTTTAAGATACCTATATTAGTTTATATTAGCTATAGTTGCTTATTTTTATTGCAATGCTTAATCTTTGATAATAAAAGCACCCCCACCCCCCCAAAAAAAACCATGGAATTGACAATTTAAAAAACAAGCAAATCGGGGCCGGCCCAGTGGTGCACTGCTACAGTGCGCCGCTTGGGAGCGCGGCGGCACTCCCGCCGAGGGTTCGGATCCCACATACAGACCGGTTCCCGCTCACTGGCTGAGCGAGGTGCGGGCGCAACACCGAGGGTTGCGATCCCGTTGCCGGTCCCAGTCCGGTACGGGCACGGCACTGAGGGTTGCGATCCGTTGCCGGTCACAAAAAAAAAAAGACAAAAAGGAAAAAAACAAAACAAAACAAAAAAAACAAGCAAACAAGAAATACATATGGAAATTTCAAGTTTCATCTAGAATTTTTAAAAATACTTTTTACAAAGAAAGTCTATATAATAAAGCTGTACTCTTATAATTGAAAGAGTTTAGCCTCTATATTGTAAGGGAGGTCTTCAAAAAGTTCATAGTAAGATTCTTATCTTTTAATTTCATTTTTTTCATGAACTTTTTGAACTACCCTTGTATGTAGCCTTTACATTTGGAAAAAAGTGATTAAAATGATGTGATTTTTGTTCTTTTTTTTCCCCCTCCCAAATTCTGCTGTGGTATTTAGTATAGCTGAAGCAATCAATTGTGAAGATTGATATACATCTTGTTTGTTTTTCTCTATCTTCCAAAATACTTTCAAACTGATTTCCTTATAAATTTACAACCCTTGGTTCTACCAAGATTGGTCAGAGTTAAATACAGAAAAATGAGGGTGGGATCTGTTTTAATTTAAATCCCAAATTATAATCTCCAGTTCTTTTTCTCAGGACCAATGAAAAATTTGTAAGGTAATCAACTGGTCCCATTCTGTCATAACCATAACTTCTTCACACTCCAGAAGTGGCCGAGTCAATAGTCAGAGTTTAGATCTCACAAAAACTGAAAATACTGTTCAGAAATGGAACTAAATTGGTGCTTACTAAAGGAAAAAAAAATGAATAGACATGGCACCTGTTAATGGATGAGGAGGAAAAAAATCTTTTAAACAAATGTATCCAGGGGCAGAAGTTGTAGTAAGGCTTCTCTTAAAATTGCACTGCTCCCAGATGTCACAGCCAGTTGGTCTGCACTTAACACAAAACAGGTCCAGGGTTTGTTGACTGATTTGCATATGCCTGTAAAATTATCACATCAGTTGGTTTATTGAAAGTTTCTTAAATAAGGTGATGATGCAGGCTACTGTTCTCCACATGGTCTGAACAACTATTTTTACCTTCATCAAAATTCTAAACTTTGATATAAAAATGTAGGACTGAAAATGTTATCTAAATAACAGTGCCAGGAAGTACAAAGAATAACACAGTAAAAGACCTTTAAAGAAACTGATACTAAGTAAATTTTAATAAGAATTTAAGTTCTTCATATGTGTAAGAATATACACATTTCACAATTTTTTTCACAGAGGGTTTTACATTGCTTCTGAAATATATATGATCTTACAAAATCCTATAATGCAGACTTGCTAATTTTTATGCCACAGTTCTGCATAAAAATGTCTTGGGAAATTTACAGTAGCCAAATCGTATTTCGAAGCTCCAAACTTCCTCTTAGCCATCATGAGATTAAATGAAAATAAACACCTGTATAACATATGTTTATTCATTCAGCAATATTTATCAAGTGCATTCTCCATGCTAGGCTCTAGGGACACAGAAGAAAAAAACAAACATTTACCAAGTGCATTCTCAGTGCTAGGCTCTAAGGATACAGAAGAAAAACACACACACCTTGTAGTACGAGCTCTTGTGAAACTTATGGTTTAGCTGCTGATATTAAACAAAATCACTGCCCAATTGACTACTGAATTAGAATGGTGATAAGAGATAAGAAGTACAATTCTCATGAAAACAACACTGCTTGAAAATAAACAAAAAGCAAAAATGTTATTACATAGGCTGAGTTTCCTGTCCTGATTCCATGAGCATGTGAGTCAGTCATTTTTCAGCACTGTTATTAACATTATTTTAAAGGTTAACTTTAAAAAACTGCAGCCTGGGAGGTTTCTTTCTTTTTTGCCTACTTGTCCTTGACAGAAGAGCCATCTACTTAAAAATGAAGACACTATATAAAAGTTACAAAGATGAGTAAAACATATTTCCTATCTATAAAGAGCTTATCTAACAAATTTCACTTAGTTCTTCAAACTAAGCCAATCTAATCTACGTTAAGATACCAATTCTGTATTTCTTTAAGACTTTATTTTTAGGGAAGTTTTAGGTTCACAGCAAAACTGAATTGAAAGTACAGCAAGTTTCCGTATACATTCTATCCACCAGCCCACCCACTATCAACATCTCTGCACTTGAGTGGAACATTTGTTATTTGATGAACTTACATTGACACAGTATTAACACCTGAAGTCCATACTTTACATTAGGGTTCACTCTTGGTATTGGACATTCTATAGGTTTTGAAAAGTATATGATGACATGTATCCACCACTATAGTATTATACAGAATAGTTTCACTGCCCTAATATTTCTTTGTGCTCCACCTATTCACCCTTCTCCTTTAACTCCTGGCAACCACTGACTTTTATTGTCTCAGTTTTGCTTTTCCCAGAATATCACATAGTTGGAAACACAGAGTATATAGCCTTTTCAGATTGGCTTCTTTCACCTAGTTATATGCATTTAGGTTCCTCCATGCCTTTTCATGGCTTGATCACTAATTTCCTTTTAGCACGGAATGATATTCCAGTGTTTGAATGTACCAAACTTTATTTATCCATTTACCTACTACAGGACATCTTGGTTGCTTCCAGGTTTTGGCAATTATAAACAAAGTAACTATAAACATCTATGTGCAGATTTTTATGTGGGCT